AGTAGTAGCAGTAGTAGTAGTAGTAGTAGTAGTAGTGGGCAGCGCGTCCTTCAGTGACCTCACGCGGTTTTGCCTTGTTCACGTATTGTAAGCTTAAGTTTTCGTGAAAAAGGAATTGCAGCCGAGTTGTTGTTAAACCCGGGTTGTAAGTCACCCTATTTTGGGACAGAACCCAGATTTCAGCGGGAAGAACAACACCACTTGAACTGCACGGGTCGGCACCATTCTCCTACTTTATCGCGGGTGCGCTCTTCTACTCGCTTGCTCTCTGATCCGTTTGGAACCATGGGTGGGAGAGTCGGAGAGCGTTCTCCTACTCTCCCCACACATGGTTCGTAACACGTAGGGAAGTAGGCGAGTAAGAGAGCGTTCTCCGACTCTCCCCACACATGGTTCGAAACGAGTAGGAGAGTAGGCGAGTAGGAGAACACACTTCGTCGGGGAACCAGACGCTGCCGGGAACTCCTTCCGTTTCGCGGACCAGGAGTTCGGAGTGGAAGCTCGCATCTAGCCATTGTTGCTTGAGTTTAATCCGGGCGGAAAGAGAAGAACAGGAGGACGGAGGTCGAACGGAGGACGGAGGAACAGGATGGCGGAGGAACATGAGGACGAAGGACGAACATCCTCCTCCTCTTCCTCTTCCTTCCCTGCTTTCCCACTCGCATTCGTCCTGCTCCTGTTCTCGCCTCCCCCACTCGTCATCGTCCTGGTCCTCAAGAGCCTCTTCCTGCCTCCACTGACCTCCTGCTTCCTCCTCATATCCTTCTACCTCGTGCTACCTCTTTCTACATCCTCCTGCCCCGTTGTGCCGCATCCTCCTCGTCGTGCCGCCTCCTGCACTCTCCTAACTCATCCTACTTTCGCCTGCTCCTCCGCTTTGTCTTCTAATGGGACGCTTCCCGCCGTCGTCGTCGAAGTAGAAGTGGAATTTGCTGTAGACGTAGACCAGAAGTAGTAGTCGTAGTCGTAGTCGTAGTAGTAGTAGTCGTCGTCGTACTCGTACTCGTCGTAGTCGTAATTGTCGTAGTGGTCGTGGTACTGGTCGTAGTGGAAGTAGTAGTAGTAGTAGTAGTAGTAGTTGTTGTTGTTGTTGTAGAAGAAGTAGTGGTAGTAGTAGTAGTAGTAGTAGTAGTAGTAGTCGTAGTAGCAGTAGTAGTAGTAGTAGTCGTCGTCGTCGTCGTCGTAGTAGTAGTAGTAGTAGTAGTAGTAGTAGTAGTAGTAATGGTTGTAGCAGTAGTAGCAGTAGTAGCACTAGCAGTACCAGTATCAATAGTACTAAATGTAGGAGTCGTCGTACAAGCTGTTGTAGTGGTCGCCGTAGTAGGGCTAACAGTAGTAGTAGTAGTATTAGTAGAAGTAGTAGTCGTCGTAGTAGTAGTTGTAGTAGCAGTAGTAGTAGTAGTAGTAAAGTATTAAGAGTAAGAGTAAGAGTAAGAGTAAGAGTAAAAGTAAGAGTAAGAGTAGGAGTAGTAGTCGTCGTCGTCTTAGCAGAAGTCGAAGCGGAAGTAAAAATAGTAGTTGTAGTTTTAGTTGCAGTAGTAGTAGTAGTAGTAGTATTAGCAGTAGTAGTAGTAGTAGCAGTAGCAGCAGTAGTAGTAGTAGTAGTAGTATTTGTCGTTGTCCTCCTCGTCGTCGCCTTAGTCGTAGCCGTTCCCGTAGTAGCCGAAGTAGTCGTAGTAGTCGTAGTACGACTAGTAGTAGGTAGTAGTAGTCGTAGTAGTAGTCGTAGTCGTAGTCGTCGTCGTAGTAGTAGTAGTTGTAGCAGCAGTCGTAGTAGTAGTAGTAGTAGTAGTAGTAGTAGTAATAGTAGTAGTAGTAGTGGCAGTAGTGGCAGGGTCGCGCTCTCTTTATGGCCAGGTATGGCAAGTATGAAGGTATATAGACAAGTATTACAAACTAAGCTTATTTCACACCTGACCTATGGCCGGCGCCTTACTTCCGTAAGGTTTTCGCATGGTTTTTTTGTTGATCCTCCGCGTTTGCCATTTTGCCCATGCAGACGGGCGTCGGGCCCTTAAGACGCCCTTCGGTTTCTTATGGGATCTTGTAGGATCCGTATGAAACCCTATGTAAGATCCCTCTGGGATCCTATAGGATCCCTATGGAATGCCGTCGGACCCCCATGGATTCCTATCGGATCTCCATGGAATCCTGGAATGCCTCCATGGAATCTTATAGGATCGTCTATGGATTTTTAGAGGACGTCTATGCAATCCTGAAAAATCCCTATGGAACCCAATAGGATCGCAATGGTATCCTAGGGGACCCCAATGCAATCCTAAATGACCCTTATGCTCCCTTCTAGGATCCTTATGGGATTTTTTTTTATAAAAAAGGATCCATTGGGGTCATGATGGGATCCAATGGGATCTCCATGCGATCCCATAGGATCCCAATGGAATCTTATAGGATCGTCATGGAACCCATGGCATCTTGTAGGATCCCGATGGACCTATAAGATCCGTCTGAGATTTAATTGGGTCCCTGTGGTACCCTATATAATCCCAATAGGATCCCTGTGGAATCTTTCAGGGTCCCTATGTAATCCTTCCGGATCTCCATGGAACCCTGCAGGCCCCCCATGGGATCCTGTGAGTTCCCAATGGGATCCTACAGGATCCTTATGGCATCCGATAGGATCCTTATGGAAACCCATACGATGCGCATGGGATGTTCTAGGATCGTGGTGGGATCCAGTTGGGATATGATAGGATCCCAATACACTTGGATTCCACTGGGGATCCGATTTCAATCGGATCCCGTTTGGATTCTAATTGCAATAATAATCAAACGAGATTCCAACCAAATTCAAATTACAATCATATTGCAATCGGGTTGCAATCGGATTCCGACTATGATAGGATACCGATTATGATATACATTCGTTGCATTGGACTCCGACCACACTAGGACTCCGATTACAATCGAATCCCGATTGCAGTCGGATTCCGATTGCAGTCGGATTCCGATTGCAGCAGGACCCAAATTACAATTGGATTTGCCCAAACCCAATCCCAAACTTCCCCGGCCATAAGCCAGGTGTGGCCCTGGTAGTATTAGTAGCAGTGGTCGTAGTCGCAGATGTAGTACAAGTAGTAGTGGTAGTAGTCGTAGTAGTCGTAGTAGTAGTAGTAGTAGTAGTAGTAGTAGCAGCAGTCGTAGAAATACTGATAGTAGTGGTACTAGTGGTAATAGTAGTAGCAACAGTAGTAGTAGTAGTAGTCGTCGTCGTAGTAGCAGTAGTAGTAGTAGTAGTTTAAGTCGTAGTAGTAGTAGTAGTAGTAGTAGTAGTAGTAGTAGTAGTGGTAGTAGTAGTAGTAGTAGTAGTAGTAGTAATAGTAACAACAGTAACAGCAGTAGTAGTAGTAGTAGCAGTAGTCGTTGTAGTGGTGGTAGTAGTAGTAGTTGTTGTTGTTGCTGTCGTAGTAGTAGTAGTCGTAGTAGTAGTAGTAGTAGTAGTCGTAGTACTAGTAGTAGTAGTAGTAGTAGTAGTAGTATTAGTTTAAGTCGTAGTAGTAGTAGTAGTCGTAGTAGTAGTAGTAGCAGTAGTAGTAGTAGTAGTAGTAGCGGTCGCAGTCGTAGTCGTAGTAATAGTAATAGTAGCAGTAGTAGTAGTAGTCGTAGTAGTAGCAGTAGCTGTAGCAGTATTGGTCGCAGTAGCAGTAGCAGGTGCAGTAGCAATAGTAGTAGTAGTAGTAGTAGTAGTAGTTGTAGTAGTAGTAGTAGTCGACGTAGTCGTAGTCGTAGTAGTCGTAGTCGCCGTGGTAGTAGTAGTAGTAGTAGTAGTAGTTTCACCAGTAGTAGTACTAGTACTAGTCGTAGCCGTAGTCGTACTAGTAGTAGTAGTAGTAGTAGTAGTAGTAGTAGCAGTAGTAGTAGTAGTAGTAGTATTAGTAGTAGTAGTATTATTAGTAGTAGTAGTGGTAGCCGTAGCGGTATCAGTATCAGTCGCAGAAGCAGTAGCAGTTGCAATAGCAATAGCAGTCGTAGTAGTAGTAGTAGTAGTAGTAGTAGTAGTAGTAGTAGTAGTTGTCGTAGTAGTAGTAGTAGTAGTAGTAGTAGTAGTAGTAGTAGTAGCAGCAGTAGCAGTAGTAGCAATAGTCGTAGTAGGACTAGTAAGAGTCGTAGTCGTAGTAGTAGCAGCAGCAGTAGTCGTCGTAGAAGTAGTCGTAGTCGTAGTCGTGGTAGTAGAAGTAGTAGTAGTAGTAGTCGTCGTCGTCGTCGTAGTAGTAGTAGTAGTAGTACTAGTAGTAGTAGTAGTAGTAGTAGTAGTAGTAGTAGTAGTAGTAGTAGTAGTAGTAGTAGTAGCACTAGTAGTTTAGTAACAGTAGTAGTAGGAGTAGTAGAAGAAGAAGTAGACGTATAAGTAGTAGTAGTAGTAGGAATAGTAGTAGTAGTAGTAGTAGTAGTAGTAGTAGGAGTAGGAGTAGTAGTAGTAGTAGTATTATTGGTAGTAGTAGTAGTAGTAGTAGTAGTAGTAGTAGTAGTAGTAGTAGTCGTCGTCGTAGTAGTAGCAGTCGTCGTAGTAGTAGTAGTAGTAGTAGTAGTAGTAGTAGTAGTAGTAGTAGTAGCAGTAGTAGTAGTAGCAGCAGTAGTCGTACTAGCAGTAGTCGAGCCCCCTGTCGGTTCCTCCGTGCGGAGTTCTTGTGTCGACTCGGGGACCGCTGACGGCGCTTCTGGCGCCTCGCATGTTGCTCTCCGCGCGCAAAGCAGGTGGATCCAGCGTCGATTCAAGAGATCCGCGCGGACCTGCGAACTCTTCTTCTTACGCACTTGTTTCTTCATGGAATGGAATGGAGGGCACGCGCGAAGAGCAGTTTCAATGGCTGTCTGCCCCCTGGGCGCCGCTAGCGTTCGCGCGATGTGCTTGGACACGTTTGGGCCAGTCACCGGAGCTCCTTATTCCTCCTCCCTCCCTCCCCCCCCTGCCTTCCGCCTCCCCCCTTCCGGCCGACGCGCGATCCCTCCCGTTCTCTCATTTCGCACCTCTCCTGGCGCAG